CTCAACTCCAGGCTGAAGTCAGAGGTCTGAGGAAAAAACCAAGGTGCATATAAATGGGATCTAAGTCAGGAGTGTGGGTTCATGTCTGTAATCCCAACGACCCTGGAGGCAGGAGGATCAGAAATTCGAGGCCAGCCTGGGCAACTTAGCAAGACTCCGTTTCAAAATAAAAAATAGAAAAGGCTGGGTGTGTAGCTCAGTGCTAGTACGCCCCCAGTTTAATTCCCAGTACCAAAAGAAAAAAAAATGGGGTCCAAGTCTTGCAGGCTATCAGATCCTTTCTTATATAACCTACCTGTTCAAATTAGAATACAATAATTTTTGTCTTCCTAATAAAGTTGTTTTTCTTAAAGCAAACAAACACAAGAAACTGGAGACCCTAAAAGTAGGGTAATTTGAGCAAGACTTCAAGGGGTAGAGAGAATAATTTCTACTTGTCATAAATGAGATGAAGCCTCAAAAGCACATGGCACCTGCTACCTCCATTGTGAACACAAGTCACAGCCTTTTATTCCCAGAATAAAAACTAGGGCAAAATTTTCATCACAGGAGAGATTAAAAACAAAGAAAGCCCGAGCTTTCTGCATGGAGCAGCAGACTGACTTGGAGTGCTCTTGGCTGAGATGACATTGCCACTGTAGTTGTGCCTTCCTGGGGAGACATCCAGTCTCCTGTCCACGGAACCCCCCACCCCCACCCCCGCCCCTCAGCAACCCCCACACAACATTTAGGAATCTAGAGGCCTCTTAGGCAGGAACAGAGGCTGGGAGAGGGAAAGAGACTTGCTTAGGTCCAAAGAGGGAATTAAACCAAGTCTACTGGCTTCTTTAAGCCCTAATTGATTTAAAAGTGGAAGAATGGGGAAAAAGAGGAAATGAAGAGAAGATGGAAAAAGACAAGAGGAGGAAGGATGTGGAGGTGKCCACTGGCAGGGAAGGGAACTGACAGGCGTGCAGGGTAACTAGAGACTTTAGGGAGAGGGCAGGGTCATTTGCTGGGGGAAGGGGAGATGCAGGCTGGGGCCTGGCTGGGTTATTTTCAGACCCATGCTATCTTTGTCAGCATCTACTAAATTATTAAACTGAGATCACATCAGAGAGGATGCCAGGCCAGGTTGCCAGGAAGATACTGAAAGGGAGGGGTTGAATCTCAGCTGAAGCCTCGAATCTTCTAGGCTGGCCTGAAAGTAGATTCCTCAGGCCTTGACCCCCACCCCAACCAACTCTCCGCAATGGAGGGGATCTGACTGGGGCCATCTGACACTGGTCATTCCCTCTGCAAACCTCTCTTGCTCCTGTCTGTCCTCAGGGAGGGCTGGGTACCTATTGGACAGGCCTCTGGAGTCTGGCCTGGGCTGCCTCTTCTATTCCAGAGCCTCAGACTCAGAGCACAGGTTTTGAGTCAGTAGACACGACTGATTTGGGAGATCTTGGGCAAAGTCTTYAATCTGTCTTTGTCTATGCCAGAGGCAACAGCAGTTCCATTTCTTAGATGAGGACTGTGAAGTTCAGGAAAAAAGTTCTTTTCTTGGGGTTGCACAGCTGGGAAAGGACAAAAGTCCTTGTTGTGATTCAGACACAAGTGCCTTCTTTCAGGTCCCTTTCCTCTCTTGATTGTTTATTTGTTTACAATATTTTCCATGTAAAGGATGTATACTTTTTATAAAGATCAGAAAAAACATACTATTCATCATAGTTTAGAGATGCATTCCCTCATTCTAAGTGTTGTGTTTTATAGGATGACTGCACTGACAGGTAGGTGGTTGACTGTGGACTCTGAAGAGAAGATGGAAAAAGACAAGAGGAGGAAGGATGTGGAGGTGTCCACTGTTCATACCTGGGGCTGCAGAGCTCAGGTCAGTTAAGGCAGGTGACAAGAAAACTGTCAGATGCCAATCCTCTCTCAYCCCTGGTCCTTTGCACGTGTTGTTTGCATCCTGAATCTCCCTCCCTGTTCCCCCCACCATCTCTGCATCACTCTCTTTGACTCATCCTTTAGGTCTCAGTCGAAATGCCACTTCTTAGAGGAAACCCTCTGTGTTCTCTCCCCACCCAGCTGGCCTTAGTGCTGTTCCCTCAGCCTCCCCCATCCAGTAGAAATCTCACCCAGCTACAGTCACCTGTCTGGGTGCCCGCTGGACTCACAGAAGATAGGGCTCTTCTGATCAGTGCTGCGCCACTCAGCAGGTAGCCCAGCAGAGGAGGGAGGTAATGAACAAGTTGTTGAATGAGTGAAAGAATGAATAAATGAATGGATGGAGAAAGAGACCTCTCCGTTCTCAGCAAGTTCCATCCTTGCATTATTTCCTAATTCAATCATATTTTTTTTATTGGGTTGGGAGTGTATCTCAGTATTAGTGCTCTTTCTGATCCTGCATAAGACCCAGGATTTCATCCCTAGTACTGGGGGGAAAATTATTGAGGGCTGGGGTTATGGTTCAGTGGTAGATTGCACGCCTAGCTTGGTGAGGCACTGGGTTTGATCCTCAGAACCACATAAAAAAAAAAAAGGAAATAAAGATATTGTGTATCCACCTATAACTAAAAAAATAAATATTTTTAAAAAATATATTGAATGCCCTCTATTGAGAGCCAGAGTATTCTAATGATAAACAAAACCAGTCTAGGGGAAGACTATTAAAAACTAAACAATAAGCCAGGTGTGGTGGCACATACCTGTAATCCCAGCAGCTTGGGAGGCTTAGGTAGGAGAATCTCAAGTGCAAAGCCAGCCTCAGCAACTTAGTGAGGTCCTTCCTCAAAAATAATAAGGGCTGGGGATGTGGCTCAGTGGTTAAGTGCCCCAGGTTCAAGCCCTGGTACCAAAAAAAGAGAGGAAAACCCCATAAAACTAAACAAATACATACATTGTGAGAAATGCCAAAAGGATAGGAATTATTTGGGGGCAATAACAGGGAGATGAGAGGCAACTTTGGGGGGTTCTGGGTTTTCATTAGGAAGAAAAGGATGCTGATCTAGAGAACATTCATCCAGTTCATCCATTCATTTATTTATTTATGTGGTGCTGGGGATTGAACCCAGGACCTTGTGCATGCTGAACACACACTTGACCACTGAGCTTTACCTCAGCCCCCAGTAAATGTTTATTGACAATCTCCTCCCACTCAGAGAAATTAGTGTCCAAGTTTACCTGGAAGGACAGTATGTGAGGGGTTTGAACCAGATCTAACTGGTTCTCTGGATCTAATCAACAGTAGAAGTGGAGGTAAGTGGTCTTACTCCCCTTCATTCATCCTTAGGAGTTAGGAGCAGTGACCTGCCTGATTCTGACAAAAGACCTGTCAATCTCCACCCTGATGGAGATGTGTGTGTGTGTGTGTGGGGGGGGGTGTTTCTGCGCTGAGAAAGACTCAGGTTGATGACACAAAGGAAACTCTTCAAAGGGATGTCACCATTTCGAGGGCATTCATCCTTGCTGGGAGCAACCTGGGAACCCCTAAGCCTCCCTCATCCTTACTGAACCCCTCTGGCTCCCAGGATCTTCATGCGCTAAGCTTCCCTTCCCCCACTGCGAGTCTCCTTCGCACCTTTGCACCCACTAAATTTCAGCTTCCTCTGCAGGTCCCTCACCTGCCCTCAAAGGTTCTTCTTGCCCTCGGTGAGCATTCTCGGGTGACTGGGTCATCCCCACCCCCCACCCCCCAGCAGGAGCCTCTCCTACTCTCAGTCACTGAGCACCTCCCTCTCATTTGATCCCTCGGAGCCCTCTTCCCCTCTTCAGTGGGCGCAGCTCCCCCTGAGGCTCCTCCCTCCCCTCGGAGGCTCTGCCGAGTTGTTTCTCTGGAGCTGAGTTGTCTCGCCCACGAGTCCCATCACTCATCGGAGGGGACCTGTAAGCGCTTGGAGAACACAGGGACAGATGAGCCTCCTCCTCCTCCTCCTCAAGTCAGTGACGCTCCGCCAGCAGCCTCCTCTTGCTCGCCACACTCTTCTTAGGTCCTCCCCATCTGGTTTCAGAGCGGGCTTCTGGCCCTCCAGGCCTTGCCTCCTCCCACCACAGACACCTGCCATCTGACGGAACCTGAGGCAGGGCCATGGTGAATTGGCCAGTATTTGTAAGTGGAACAGCAGGGCCATTTCTGCTGCCAGGAGAGTGGGCAGGACTCACTGCTTTCATTTTTCCAGAGTGACTGAATTCCAAACATGGAGGGTCCCTCTGCAACAGGCAGGGGACCAAGGTGTCTGAGTCCTCAGAGGGCATAAACAGCTAAAGCTCTTGCATTTCTGTCCAGATTCAGCCACTAGCCGGCAATGTGACCCRGGGCAAGGCCCCAAGGCACCGTCTAAGTCTTCCCTTCGTGTAAAGGTGTGGGGACACCTGCTAAGAGGAGCATACAGAGGGGCAAGGAGAGGGGCAGGGAAATAATTTTGCACACCTTGGAGTCCAGGAGTCATGGGAGGAGGCAGGCACCAAGATTTGCGTGCTCAGCGGCAGGATTTAGTGTTTGTTTTGCAAGCAAATGGCCGGCCTGGCATGGGACCAACCCAGCCAGATGTCCATTCCCTGGGCTGAAGGGACGCCAAGTCGCCCCTCCATTACCCCAATGAGATGGGAGGGAGTCCTAACGAGACTGCGGCCCAAATCAGGCAGAGCTGATTTGGCCAAGGGGCAGCGGGACGTATGGGAAGGTGAAAGTCAAGCTTCCTGAGTACTCGTCCGTGCTCTGTCACGCGGGGGGGGCCCCTCCCCGAAGTGGACACTGGATTCTTTGACTTCTAAGCACCAACCTCCACAGTTTTTGACTGAGGGACGAGGTGGAGGAAGATACGGCCCGCTTTTCACCCCAAATGTGTGGAGAAGTGAATGGGGACCTGATGCCCTAACAGCGGAGGGCTGGAGTAAGAACTGGGAAGCTAAAGTGTTTGGGGAAGGTCCTGAAAGCTCAGAGCTGGTGGGGACGGGTTCAGGCTATACCCGTCTCTGATTGGCTGGGCTGCCCATCGCTCCGCCCCTGTTCTATAAGACGCTCGGGCGGCGGGTGCGGCGCGGGCGTGGGCACTGCGGCCGCCTCTCTCTCCTCGCGTGCCCAGCGTCCATCCTTTCCGYGGACCCACACCCGCAGGCCGCCGGGGGGCGGGGGATGCCGGGCTGCCGCATCAGCGCCTGCGGCCCAGGGGCTCAGGAAGGGACGGCAGAACCGGGGTCCCCCCCGCCGCCGCCCCGGGAGCCCCTGTCGTCCCTTCAGCCCCCGCCCCCAACTCCGACCTTGACCCCGACCCCAGCTCAGTCCCGGCCGCTGCCGGAGGCGGCCCAGGCGTCAGCTGCGCAGGCCGAGGGTCAGGAACTGCAGCGCTGGCGCCAGGGAGCTAGTGGGGGCGCTGGGGTCACCGGGGCGACAGGGGGCGCCGGCGGTGGCTCGGGAGCTGCGGCGGGGGCTGGGGGCCGCGCGCTGGAGCTGGCCGAAGCGCGGCGGCGGCTGTTGGAGGTGGAGGGCCGCCGGCGGCTGGTGTCGGAGCTGGAGAGCCGCGTGCTGCAGCTACACCGAGTCTTCCTGGCCGCCGAGCTGCGCCTGGCGCACCGCGCAGAGAGCCTGAGCCGCCTGAGCGGCGGCGTGGCGCAGGCCGAGCTCTATCTGGCGGCGCACGGGTCGCGCCTCAAGAAGGGCTCGCGTCGTGGCCGCCGCGGCCGCCCTCCGGCGCTGCTGGCCTCTGCTCTCGGCCTGGGGAGCTGCGTGCCCTGGGGCGCCGGGCGGCTGCGGCGCGGCCACGGCCCCGAGCCCGACTCGCCCTTCCGCCGCAGCCCGCCCCGCGGCCCCGCTTCCCCCCAACGCTGAGCTCAGGCTCCCGGACCCCTGGCCACCCAGGACAGGCCATCACCGAGGTGCCAACCAACGGATTGAGGATGCMGGCAGGATGGATGTTGTCACCTATGCTGATGAACAGACTGACCCACGACAGGAAGAGACAGACTGGGGGCCAGGAGCCCAGTAAAGGAGGCTGAGGTGCGGTGTTAGTGGCTGGTGGTTTCAAGGGGCGGTGGGGCTGCAGGGCCCAGGATCTCCTGTCCCTGGGGCTTCTGGCGTCTGCTGAGCCCTTAATAAGGCTGTCCCCTGTCCGTGGCCGCCTCTTGCAGACCACCAGGGGGTAAGGGGCAGCACGAAATTCCTGTTATAGAGTTGGACAAATGGAGGGTGCTCAACTCCCAGGAGGGATTTATTTGGTGGCAAACTTTTGCCAGCTGCTGCCACTGCACTGGCGCAACACCCCACCCTCACCTCTACTTTCCTTGCCTTTTCTGGATCCCTTGGGGCTGTAAGAAGTCTTGCCCTTGAGGCTGCTGTTTTCTTGGAGAAAACAGCAGCCTCAAGCCTCAACAATATCAGGACAGAATAATGAGGTCCTAGGATGGGGTGGGGGCTGGCACAGGACTGTATGACTGAGATCTCTTCTGAGCCCCTTTACCATTGGGGGAGATAGAATCCCAGAGAGTTTGAGGATTTGTCCCCATCATACTTAAACTTAGACCCTCTGCTTCTTAGAAACAGAGCTTTTCTCATGTTTCATGCAGTTTCGTTAAGTCTGAGATAATTAGGATGGGATATTTGGCACTTACTCACCTAGCGGCCCTTCTCCCAACTCATCTCTAAGATGGCTCTGCCAGTGATGGAGCCAGGTGTGACACCCTTTAACAGCCCCAAGGGGGCAGGTATGGCATCATCTTCCAGAAAGGTGGGGCTTTAAAGGGCCAGACTAGAAATATGATCTGCTTCTTCCTATGCAGATGCCCTTCAGATCCTTCATTCCTCTGCCCCCACTCATCTGTGATGGCTTGGCCCTTGCTTCCCTGCTCATAGATAATTGCACCTTCACTTGTTAGTCTGTCAGGTGGGTATCACTACCTCCCAGAAGGGCTATGCGGAAATTAAGGGCAAAGGACTGTCTTCTACTGTAAGTCATGAAAAGATATTTTACTCTTTTAAATCACACCTACAGCCACACACTGCTTCTGCATGGAGCCAGGAGCTAATTTAAAGTCCTCATTTTACAGAATGGAGAGGGATTTTCTCAAGGTCACTTGCCAGGAAGGGACAGAACAAGGAACCCAGTCCTCTGTGTATCCTCATAATATTCTATACTGGGGCTAGAGAGAGCTGACCTCTGGGCCCATCTACAGTGTGACCAAAAACAACTCTGCCCCATCTTTGAATCAGTGTCCTCCTCTCGGACTGYAGCTGTCCTTCTTTGTATCAGGGCTTGAGACTGGAGGGAAGGAAATTGATGAATCTGTCAGTCTCAGGAATCTGATTGTGAATGGTGAAAGGTTAGGTCCATTGCAGTGATAGACAGGGATCCTCATCTGCCACTCCCACCCCCCAATCGGCTCTTCCTTTTCCTAGGTAACAAACTTTTTGACTGGTTTCCCAGCTAACAACTAGGCCTTCCTGAACCCCTGTTTAGCTAGAGGAAAGCTCTATCTCAGAGCTTTTGAGAAAGTTTGGGGACCAGGGAAACAGTGAGGAACCTTGGCATCTTTTAGTCTCTCCAGAGAAAGAGGACCTTCCAAAGCCACACTGGTCATTTCGGGTCCAAAGACCAGGACTTTCTGGAGGTGACACAGTGAGGGAGCTCAGGCAGCAGTGCTGGGCTGCAGCCAGGACTGTTTGGTTTCTGGGTCGCAGGAGCAGTTGGTCCAGAGGAGCTTTTAGCTAATGGCATGAAGTGTTCTGTGTCATCAGTTTTGCATTTCTCTGGGATTTGTTGGTAATCAGCTTTATCCTGATTTGAGGGGGAGATAGGTGGATTCRTAGAGAATTAGAGATGATACTCACTGGAGAAAGGGGTGGGTATGTGGAGATTGGTCCTAATGTCACAAGACATCTCTGTCCCTTCCCTTCACTTCCAGGTGCCCCACTGCTTGCCACCAAGGACCTAGGCCCAGGCATAAAGAGCTCAGTGACTTAAACCCCAGCTCCTGGTTAGTGTTTTTTCCACTGTTCCTCAGCCAACTAATAAAAGTCACCTTCCCACTCATGCCTGACTGCCACCACCCCACCCCCGGCCATAGAGCTGCCTGACTCCATATTTTCCTCAATCAACAAATATTGATGTCAGTCCAGGGTTTTCAGAATCAGATCAGAGGATCTCTGCTTCTGAGAGCTTGTTTTCCAGCCCTCTTCCAGGCAAACTTCCTTGGCTTCACCATCCCAGAGGACCCTTGGGGTCTAGAAGTTTGTGTTGTTGGAAGGCAATTTTTTAGACCTCCACTAATAACTAGCCCTTTGGCAGGAGACAGACCCTTCCCTTCCTCCTGTGACTTTCTGAACACTTTCTCAGTGGCCTCTGGACTGAGTACAGGAATCTTTTGGAGCCTATACTTTGAGGACACTGAGGCTTTCGTGATTGAGGACTGAGGGAAAACTGGAGCCTTTCTTCAGGCTGGAGCGTGGGCCTTGGAGACAGTTCAGGGGTCTAGCATGGAACCTTGCTGCCCCATCCTCAGGATTAGCCTCTTCCCTCTCTTGGCAGAGCCCAGCAGTATGTGGGTGCTGCCACCAGAGGGCAGTGTGGGGCTACTTCTCGAGACATGGGGGCGTGGTCTGGAACGGGTTGGATCCCCAGTGGTGCCGCCACCAACCATCCCCTTTCCTGTAGTCCCGAGGTTTCCTTGACTGAGCTGTAAGGGTGTGCGGAACCAGCGCGTGGTGGCGGTCGGATCGGCCCCGGGGGTGGGGGTGTAATTCCAGTGATGGCTTCCTGGGTGGTCAAGCTGGAAACTCAACTTGTGTGCCTCCTAAGTAGGGGCGGGGAGAGGCGCAGAGGTGGCCCAGCTCTTCAGGAAGAAGGTCCTTTAGGGAAGACTTCCTGGAAAGAGGTTACCCCTCTGAGTAGAAGCCCGGAATTCTTTCGCTATTTACATATTTGTGTGATGCTGAGGATGGAACCCAGTGCCTCATACATCCTAGGCAAGGCCTCTATCACTGAGCCCCAGCCCCAGGTCGCGTGCTTTTTTTTTTTTTTTTGGAGACAGGATATAGCTTAATTTCCCAGTCTGTCCTCGAATTTGCAATCCTCCTGCCTCAATCTGCAGTCTCTGGATTACAGGGGTGTGTCCCCATGGCGCTATTCATAGATTTTGTTACAATGATAATTGATCAGAACATCCTGTCCTGGCACCACCTAGCAACAGAGGTGGCCTAGAGATTAGGCTGAACTGAGAGGTTGTGTCTAAACTGCTCCAGTCCTGCAGTGAGCAGTGACCTGGAGGAGCCCCACCCTACAGCCAAATCCCTTGAGAACAATTCAGGTGTCCCTGAGCTGGAGAACTGAAGGAGAGGCTCCCAGTTTTATGGCTTGCCAGAGAGGAAGTATTTAGGAAAGCTGGGAAATTCCCAACCTATTTCTTCTCCCATTATTCCCTGACCACACCCTGGCCAGGAGTGATGAGGGAGGGGAAGCCTTGGGTCTGGAATAGTAAATTAACCACCTCCTCCATGACAGGCACTGTGCTAAGCACTTCACACCCATTATTTGTTTTTTTTTCTCCCAACCACTCTGCAAAATAAAGGTTATCCCCATTCCCACAGATGAGGATAACCAGGGAGGRCAGATGACTTAGTCAAAGACATAGAACCTGTAAGTGAACCCTTAAACATTAGGCATGCTAATGATGGCTCCATTGCCAGGGGTATCACTGGGCTCTCACCTGGCAGGTGACAAGAGTAACACACTCCCTGGTATACAAAAAGGGCCCAGGCGGAACAAAATGACCTGAGATTCAGTACTGGCCTGAAACTTTTCAGCTGAGGAATTTGGGGCAATGACTTCTCTTTTCCAAGTCAGTTTCTTCTATTTGTTTTTGTACTGGGCCGGAGGTGCCTAGGATGGAGCTAACTTCTGGGCGTTAAATGAGAAGTCCCACTAAGTGCCTAGCACATACTGGAGGTCTGTGCATGATGGAACCACTCTGCCTAGGCCCGAAGAGGCTGCCAGAACAGCCTCTAGTCTGTGGGGCAGGGTGGGCCTTGGCTTCTCTACAGCAGAGCAGCTCCACATCAGGAATCCCTGGAACGTCCCTCCCCTCCACTGGGCCCTGGAGAACTCCTTAAGGGGAGAGGTGGAGGAGAGGCAGGCTTTTCATCCCAAGAACATTCCATTCTAGCTGCTCAGACCAGTGGGGATCCCAGCCAAGGACAAAGGCCCAAGGGAACCTCTGMTTTCTCCTTGAGCCCCTCCTTAAGAGGGGCCTTTGTGGAAAGCTGGTGCCAGAGGTAGTCGCTGAAGTGTTGGGCTGGGGTTGGGTGGCTGTGGGAAAGAGATCATTAAAACTCTTGGAATTATTCTTTCCAGCTCCTCCCAGCTCCTCAGAGCCTCTACTCTATGGATCTGAACTCCTAGATTCTGCTCCTTCCCTGGACACCTTCAGGAAGACTTTGAGAATTGTCCCTACCTGACCTCAGTGCCCTCCTGTCTGGAGCCACCACTTCACCATGGCAAAGGGCTGGGTTCTGGGGAACTTGCCCACACACTATGAATTTCTCTACATGCACCACATTTGGCTTTGCTCTGTATGATTGAAGATGRTAACACAGGGCCCTGAGATGCAATCAGATTATTTGAGAGTGTAGCAAACATTTTCAAAGTGACAACAAAAAGGACCTCTCTTTAAAGGTAGAGTCATCGTTCTTAAGTCACATAACAGCTGGAGTCCCCATCTGGTAGATATCAGTTGCTTCTGAATCTGATGTTTGAGGGAAAACCCTGGTCGGAGAAATGCCTGTTTCCCTGCCCACTGTCCTCTTCTCCCCATATGAGGGTGTGCCTGGGGCCCCTCAAGACAATCAGCTGCTGCCTCCCAGGGGACACACCCCTTTCTCTGGAAGAGGTAGTGGCAACATAAAACTCCTAAGCAACATTTTAAATACAAGAAGACTATATATTTATTCATAAAGTATCCTGCTAAAGAGGGAAAGTGCACATTTATTCACATACAGCTCAGAACTTGTAAAATTCTGCAAGTAAATGGATATTGAATCAGTCCCCTGACATATGCATTCAGGAAGAATAAATTTCAATAATATGAGGCCAAGGTGTGTGGTTTTGAGGTCCCCTTTGCAAGTGTTTTTGCTGCCTTCCCTTTGTGTCTGTCACCGCTCTTTCARTTGACAGTTCCATGAGCAGATTCTGTTTAGTTTGGCTGTCTGTGCCTGTCAACTGGTTTGCAGAGACTGATACCTTTCTTGACCTGGTTCACAGTTCACCCTCCCAAAGAAGTCACTTCAGTTAAAAGATCTGATGTGGAAACTGAGGGACAGGAATGTGTGTGTGAGATTGTATGACGAGGGGGGAGGTTGTCCCCATTATTGATAACATGGCATCATGACAGCCTATGGGGTTGTTAGTGACTGCTTGTCTAGCAGGGTCCCCAGAGGAGATAGGCACACTCAAACTGGGAAGTTTTAGCAAGTACTTTTTCCAACAGTGGGTACTGGCCTTATTAATTAAGAAACTAACAAGTTGACTAACTGTAGCTCCATGTAACTAGCATGATATGACCCTGGGTTCCATCCTCAGCACAGGAAACAAACCAACAGGGAAGGAAAAGAAATTAGCCAGGGATGGTGCATGTCTGGGGGCTCCAAGGTGGAAAGACTTTAGTCTCCTGGGCCTGAAGGGGCAAGGGAGGCAACTGTGGCCAACCATGACAACCTGGACCAGGGGGAATAAACCTTTCCTCCTTCCTGTCTCCTCAGGGCCTCTCTTGTCAAGCGTCAGGAAGCCAGGGAACAAGGGAGCCATTGATGCCCTGGGTAGATGGCAGCCTCCCCAGGGACAGGCCTGAGGATGATGGAGAGTGGATCTGGAGGGGCCAGCCATAGCACTGTTTCTTCCCTCTGGAAAGCCTAGGTGGGTTGTTATTGCTCCAGAGAAGATGGAAGAAAGGACAGGAGCTTTCTCCCTCAGCTCCTCACTGGCTCTGATCCTAGTTCTTGATTCCCACCTGTCCTGACATATCAGGTCGCTGCAGGAATTGTCCACAGAGAAATAATGTCAGCCACTGAGTCAGTGTTTTTCTCAAACCCGGAAACTGCACCACTCCCGAACACACCCACAGGCATGCTGTTGCCACCGTGGGTCCAGGACAGTCACCACAAGCCATGGCAAGAAAATGTACATCTTGGCATACTACTATGCCAGTCAATCATAGGAAAATGACAAATGTCACAATAATGTCAAACATGCCCTGCCACATATATGTACAGGAGACACCATCATGATCAACCACATGAAATCACAGTGTAGGGAGAGGAGTCAGACAGATCTCCTTGACCTCAGTTTTCTCATGTGTAAAGTGGAAACACTTGCTCTTCTCTTGTGGTGTTGCAGGATGAATGAGAATGATTGGAAAGATGGGAGTCGAGTGCCTGGCCTGGTGCCTGGCCTGAAGTAAAGCGCAGGCCAGATAGCAGCTGTTCCTGAGGACTCCTGTTTCACACGCCCGGCTTCCTCATGCTGGTGCAAGCAGGCACCTGGGCACCAGCGAGCACACCCACTGCCCAGGGGCAGCCAGACACCCTTAAGCACATGCACCCTCTTTCAGACGTGCAAACATGTGCATCCACAAGTCCCCTCGGCCTGAAACACTTCCTCAGGCAGTCCTGTGGCTTGCTTCCCACCACCTATGTCTTTGCTTCAACCCATGTCGTTTTTTAAAATGAGGTGCACCTTGATGTCTTAAAATTTGCAAACCCTAGCTCTTCCAATCCCTTGCTTAGCTATATATATCTTTATGCATCCCTGACCTTCTAAGACCACAGGATTTATTTTGTCTACCTCATTAGAATGTATTTTCACAAAGGCAGGGGTGTCTGTCTTGTCTGATGTTGTCCCAACACCGGAACAGTAACCTGCACCCACAGGCTAGATGCAGTGTGTACATGTGTGTGCTGCGTGGGTTTCTGATTTTCTCACCTCCTAAAACAAGTACCTCCAGGTGAGCTCCACTCCCACAACCTGAACCTGCTGCTTACACCGAGTCCCTCTCATGCCCAGACTCAAATGGTCAAATTGTGAGGTGAGACGAAGTTTGTTCCTTCCAGGACCCAAGCTGGGTGGGCTTGGCTGGGATACTTTTGCTGTCATCAGCCTTGTGAGTGCCCTGCCAGCCCCTTAGAGCCCAGCAGGAACCCACAGAATAGGTGAGGTGGCTGGACTCACCTTAATGACCTGAGGTCTCCTTTGGGGCCTTGTTTTCCCCACCCTGGCTGGAACCATCAAAGTCACCACTTCAGAGGCCCCTAATGAGGCTAAATATATTAAGGGCTTTGCAATCCCTGGATCAAAGAGACCAGGTAAACAGTGGGCAGCGTCCAGGGGTGAGTGGCTGATGCCCTGAGGGAACAGCTCCCCCAGACAACCTGGCTTGGCCCCAGCTGGGTTCAGAAAGGAAAGACCCTGTCCCTCCCAGGGGACCTGCTATTCAGAGCACTTGTAGGTGGAAAGGAAGGAGGAGGATTGAGGGAGACTCTCCTAGATGGGGGACCCTACCTGGACTCTAGGGGACCCAAGAAGTCCCCCAGTCTCAGCTGCCATGACTGGAGGGTCCTTCACTCCAGATTCATCCAGTGAGTTCCCCACCTGCTCTGGGCAGAGYGGAATTAAGCAGCCCTGGGCATTGCAGTATGAGGCAAGGTCTGGGGCTCCTAGGACCCTAGGCAGGAAACCTGGGGCAATTGAAACATTTCATCTTTAATGAGAGAATCCTAGACTCAACAAGCTGCAGGTGCAGGACACTGAAAGACACAAGCTGTTAGGCTGGGGCTGGTGCAGAGGGAAGGCGGGGCCACCCTGCAGCCATGTCCAGACCTCAGACCCCACCTCCCCTCCCAAGATAGAAGCCAGACTCAGACTGGGAGGATCCTTCTCCCAAGGCTCAGTGTAGACAATTTTTATTGGTAGGTGGTAASAGTGCAAAATAGCAACGAACCCAGAGGAGTGGAAAAGGAGGTGAGGGTAGGGCTCCCCCGTGTGTCAGAGTCCTCTAGCCAAGCCAGTGGGGTGGGACAACTCAAATTGCCTGTGAAACTTTTGGCCCAGCACCTTCCAAAGGACAAGCTCCCAGGCAAGCAGGGCTTCTCACCATACAAGGGAAAGAAGGACACACTGGGAGGGTTGGACTACATCTCCTAGCTGCACACCTCGGGGCCCACTGCATACTCCCCGCCCCTCAAGAGGAAGGCTTCACAGCTTGGGGTATGGGTTTCAGGGGATTGGGTCAAACCCTTCCTCCCCAAACCCAGGTATTTGCCTTATGCCTCAGTTTCCCTCCCCCAAGTGATTAGCCAGGTTAGGCCACCAGACTCAGTGGTTCAGCCTGACCCAAAGTGAGTCACCCTCATCACATACCAGTCTCTGGGCTGGCTGACCCTAGTCAAAAAGATTCTTTCTAGGCCATGGAAATAAACCCAGGGTGCTGAACATTGAGGCTACCTCCTAAACTTGCTTTGTCTCYTAAAGGCAATGGACCCTCAAAACAAGTAGCCCCGCAATAATGCTGATCCAAAAATGTGGTGCAGTAACCAAAGGGTCCTCCTGCCAGGAATCTGGCTTGGCCTGAAGCCCACAGAGGCCTCCTTCAGTGAAGTCTGCTGTGTTCCATCGAAGGCCCAACCCTGCAGGAGTGCTGGGCTGGCTGGCACAGCCTGCTCRTCTCTCGCCATTTCCTCCACATAGTCCTGGTGACCCCACCCCAGCCCATGAGGCCCAGTCCCTTCTGGCCAGGGTCATAGTCAGTTACAAGGCAGCCAGGTGGGATAGGAGTGGGCCCGAGCCAGTAGGGGCTGCACAGGGGTCACGTAGTAGTTGACGGTGGCTGGCATAATCCCATCATGGCCTGGAGGGCGCCAGGCCAGAGCAGCAGTGGCAGCTGGGCCCTGCTCAGCCAGTGCCTGGAGTGCCAGCGTGGCAATGAGGTCCAGTGTCTGGCGGCGTTCATGGTTCATGAGGCACACGGTGCTTTCGTTGACCACCTGGTGCAGTGTCACCAAGCAGGCATAGCGGCGGGCTGCATCGGCCCCGCCGAAGTGAGCTTCCAGGTAGCGCTCCAGCGTGCGCTGCTGCTCCACCAGGTCGGGAAAGTCGATGAAGAAGCGGGAGCACATGTACCGTTGTAGGGCACGCACATCAGTGCTGGGCTGTGGCCGGAAACCCCGCACCAGGAGGTGACAGTACTTGAGGAGGCCACCGCCACGGATCTCCTCAGGGCTGCGTGTGGCGATGACACGGTGCCGTAGGTGCTCCAGGGCCTCTGCAAAGTCCCCATACAGACTTTCACCTGTCACAGTTGGATGGAAGGCCTCAGACATGGGGGTGGATGAGCACTGGCCAAAGAACAGGAGGGAGTCTAGGATTATCTGGAAGGAGTCGACGCTGAACTCGAACTGTCGCCTCACAGAGTCCACGAACTTGAGCTCCACATTCTTGCCACTCTTATTGGACAGCGAGATGAGGCTCCAGCGGTCTGTGTCTGTGCACACCTTCACCAGCTTCTGCACGTACGCTTCCTTGAGTGTGAGTGGTGTAATCTTGGCCCGGCTCACGCCGGCTGGCAGGAAGTCCAACAGGCAGGCCAGCACCACTGCCTTGGTCAGCTGGAAGGATGCCTCACTATGCAGGTCCACCCTGAACACCAGGTCCAGGTCCTTGTAGCCCAGGCCACTTTCAGGGTGCAGCACGTGGCTAGCGGCTGAGCCGTGCAGTCGCACACTGTGCACGCGGAGTCCTTGCTCCTCYAGGCTGCTTCGGACCACCTGCAGAGGGAGGGAAGGGCAATAAGAGCAGTGTCAGGAGCCTGGCCTCCCAACGTCCGCACCCAGGACTTCGAGGTAATTGTTACAGTATCATCGTATACTGTAGACCATGTACCAGCTGCTGTGCCTTTGGAAAGTCATAGACCTTTCTGAAAGCCTCGATTTGCCAAATCTGGAGAATGATCCATTTGAAGGTATGACTCAGAAGAGCAAGTAAGAGCAAACACAAGCACAGAATTTACCAAGCACCAGGACCTGATCGAAGCACTTTCTATATTAAGATATAAATTTGCTTAATTCTCACAATAACCCAATGAGGTAGGTACTATTATTTCCACTTTGCAGATGGGGAAATAGAAGMACAGAGAGACCAGGTTTTACCTAAAGTCACATAATTGGTGAAAGAAAAGCTAGGAATTAAATTTAGACAGAGCCTTGTGTGGTGGTGCATGCCTGTGATCGCAGCTGCTAGGGAGCCCGAGGCAGGAGGACTGTAAGTTTAAGGTCAGTCTCAGAAATTTAGCAAGACCCTGAATCAAAATGTAAAGGACCGGGGATGTAACTCAGTGGTAGAGCTCCCCTGGGTTCAATCCCCAGTACTAAAAACATAGGAAAGTCCCCATCTTAACTACCTACCTATCGAAAACTGCAAATAAAATCCTTAGCATTGTTCTAGGCACTGTGTTAACTGCTCAGATGTTCTGGGAATATAGTTAGCAGTTCACATGCATTACCACATTAGGCCTCATGATAATCTTATGTTTAGCATTACTATTTCAATCCACAGATGGGACTTGTGGACAGAGAGGGTAAGAAACATGTCCAAGGTCACAGAGGAGACAGGCTGAGACTAGAACCCAGACTGGTTGGATTGCCAAGTCATGCATGTTCTTTTGACTCATTTCATCCTTATAAGGAGCCAATGAGGCAAACACTATATTCATTTTGCAGATGAGGAAACTGAGGCCTATGATGGTGAAACACCTAAGGCTCAAAGGAGAAGCCATTCAGAAATAGCAGGGCTGGAAGGCCAGACCTTTTCACTGTTGAGAAAGGGGAGGGGTAAAGCCTCCAGAAGCCTCCCACGCCAACTGGGAAGAGATGGAGGATCCATCTGAGAGTCCCAGGGTTGACTGTACAGGAACAGCACAAGCAAACCTCTAAGTCTGCTTGAACCTGGTCCTTTAGCTCAGGGCATCTCCCCAGTTCAAGGCAACAGGTGGGGAAAAGAAGCTGGGGTCAGGGCTGGGATTGTGGCTCAGCGGTAGAGCGCTTGCCTAGCACGGGCAGGATCTGGGTTCGATCCTCAGCACCACATAAAAATAAAGGTATTGTGTTGTGTCCATCTACACCTAAAAAAATAAATATTAAAAAAAAAAAAGCTGGGGTCAGACCGTAGGTGTTCTCAGCACCCAAAGTACTTCACACACTGTCCTGAAAGTGACCAGGCAGCATTCCTGCCCTGAGTGACTCTGCAACCCCGCCTTGCTGCCAAGTCAGCGCCCAGCTCTGGGTGGTTGTTCGCCTGCCTCCCAGGGAATTACTGCAAAGAATGCGCCTAAGTGCTGAGGAGGCAAGCCGTGGTGGGGCAATCTGAGGCGGGCGGCTCCCTCCAAGAAGGCTTCCGGGAGTTGTCATGGCAATGGAGTGTAAGTAACTGGCCATCAGAAGCATGCAGGACCAGGGGTAGGGTGGAGGAGATGAGTACAGTGGTTAGGTACTCAGGGAGGGCCAGGCATTGCACTTGAGTAAAATCTATGGGGAGCTAGGATGTGGCTCAGTAGTGGCTCATTCTTAGTTTTTGCAAGGCTCTGGGTTCAATCCCCAACATAGGGGAGATGAAACCAAACCAAATAACCATGGGGGACAGATCTTTATCGTCTTTGTGTTATAGACAGGAGCAAAGTCACCTGCTCTCCATCACATGGAGGTGCCTTCAAGCCCAGGTATGACTAGCTCCAAAGACTGTCCTTTATTTCGGGGGGCGGGGGATACCTGGGATTGAACTCAGGAGTACTCAACCAATGAGCCACATCCCCAGCCCTATTTTGTATTTTATTTAGAGACAGGGTCTCACTGAGTTGCTTAGCACCTTGCTTTTTGCTGAAGCTGGCTTTGAACTCATGATCCTCCTACCTCAGACTCTGATTACAAGTGTGCACCACTGAGCACCCTCATCATCTTAAAAAAAAAAAAAAAAAAAAAAAACTTTTGGTGCTAGAATGGAACCCAGGGCTTCTTCATGCTAAGCATTTGTTCTGCTACTGAGCTACATCCTCAGCTCAGCCTATCCTCTTCCTCCAGTCCCAGGATTCAGAAGGAGCACAGACTAATTAATCTTCCTTCCCTTCCCAAGTTTCAAAGTGAGAGTAACCCTGAAATCACTGAAGCCCAGAGCCAGAGTAGTTGAGGAACAGGAAGGTGGGGTTGGGGGACTCTTAGCCAGAGAGGGCTAGTCCTTGCAACCAGCCTGTGGGATTTCTAACTCAAACCTACCTGGAAGCTGTGCCCAGGTAAGCCAATAAGAGAAGGGGGCCAAAGACCTCAGTCAAAGGACCCTGCCAGACCTGCAGATCAGACCAGCCCCCTCCCTGAGTCCCATTAGAGCTGACTGGGCCTTACTCAGTGCCAGCTCCTGTTCCCAGGCTGGTGCCCACCCAAGGGCATGGCATCTGTCCTGGTGAGTAGGTAGTAGTACCCTCATTAAATCCCCTGCGTCAGGGCCATGGGGCCAGCTGTGTCAGCCAGCCAGCAGCTGTTGTCTCTTTCCCAGGTGTGACTACAGCCAGTTTGGCAGGCAGTTTCTAGATACTGCCACACCCAAGGACTGCAGGGCAGCTTGCAGCCTCCTGAATCAGACTTTCCAGCCACAGAGGGGGCAGTGACTATACCTTCCTTTCTCCTATGCCAAGCCCTCCCCAGAACTGTTCTGCTTCAGGGCTGCTGCTGAGACCTGCAGGAAGACTGATAGGCACTGTCAGCCAGCAGGCTTACAAAATTGCAAAATTGCCCTATGGCTGCAGCTGGGGAGCTCAGACTGTCTGGTTTAATTCTCTGTGCCTAGAGAAGGCAAAGGACTTGTCCAAGGTCACATAGCTAGTAAGTGGCTGAGCTTAACTAGAACCAATTCTCCCAGAGCTATAGGTGGGGGCGGGGGCTCTTATAAGAGGGAGTTCCCTTCAGCTCAGATACAAGTAAGGATCACATCTCTACTGCTCAGATTGTTTCAAGAGCAAAGCCTGTGGGGTGCAGAAGGAGAACAGTTCCAGTTCTTGAGCCACAAGAGAACTCAGCACTGATGAGAAGTTTTGACCAGCACCTCCCTCCCTTCCCCATGTCCCCACCCCTTGCTTACATCCCTGACAGCTTCTGAAGCAGCCAACTGCAGATTCTTGCCAGGAGACAGACTTTCTTCCCTGTGAAGGTGGCTGAACAGGCCAGGTGAAGACACCTGTTCCCTTTGGAGTTTGGAACCAGAAAAGGTGTTGGCAAGCAGTCTAATCCATCCCCATTTGAGGGACAGGGGCACTGAGCCCAGCAAAGGCAACTGACAAAAGTTCAGGCCCTGAACCCAGATGTCCAACCTCAGTCACAGTCCAGCTCTGAAGTCTCCACCCCACATCCAACAGCTTCCTGGTCTGTAATATCTCTGCTGCTGGTGTGTGTGTGKGGGGGGGCAGGGGGGTGGAGAAGGACACTGTACCACTACCACATGGTGAAGTTAGGTCCTGCTGACTGCAATCTCCCTGACCTGGCCAGGAGCACCTGAAGGCAGAGCGGCTAAGAACTAGTCACATTTGTGCTCCTAGTGTCCTGCACAGGGCATGGGAACAGAGCAGACACAGTTTGAATCATATTTGTCCCTGTACAGGGGAGCTGTCACAGTGATGCTCAGGGGTTGGGGGAGGGCAGGGTTGACCCTGAATCCCAGGGAGAAAAGCCTTGGCTGGTTTCCCAATCACCCAGATGACAGGGAGCCTTGAGGAATGCCTCTGCTCCGCTGGGGCTGCCAGTGAGTCAGCCTAGGAAAATCTGCCCGGCCCCCTACTGCTCCGTTCCTGGTTCCTTGGGAGGGAGGGTAAGGTAATCCCCCAGCAGGCCCTTCCCCTTCTGCAGGAGGTAAGGTGGAGGAGGCAGGAGAATGGCCTGCTTTTTCTAGCCTGTTTGAAAAGCTACCAGGACACTCAGCATTGGATCCCCCCACCCCCATCAGGGGCCTCCTGATAGACCTAGACCTTCAGCTTGAGAGCCAGAGAAGTGGGAAAACCTTGAACCTGCAGCAACCTTCTCCTGGGAAGGTCCAGGATTACCTGGGTTTGATTTTCACTCATTAGGTAACCTTAGATAGCTCAGTGCTCCTCTTGGGGTCTCAGTTTCCTCAGCTATAACATGAGTACAACAATTACCATCCTCTTATGGCTCAGAACATAACCATGCCTGGGCTATACAGATGAAAGAGCAGTTCCGGAGTTGAAAATCAGAAAAAGGGAAGAGGTTCGAAGGAGAGAGAGAGGATGCCACAATTCTCTCATCTGTCCTTCAGGGGAGAGATGGGGGTAGACTTGGGATGGCCATCTTTTCCAATCTTGGGGAGAAAAGGAATATCTAAAACTAGACACTTCATATTGCCCTCGGGGGTGGAGTCTCAGGTCTGGCCTCCTACTTAATTAATCTTCTCTCGCCCGCAACCCCAGTGACATCGAGGAAGTCATTGACGAGGATTTCTGGGCTTTTCCACTTAGCCAGGGATTCTTAAGCCAAGGGCTGTGGGAGTGCAAAGACAGAGCCCCTAAAACCTTGAGAGAGTGAAGGGGGAGGAGGCCCAGAGATGCTGGGTGGAGGAGGAAAAGCTATTTTGGACCCAAGCATGCATATTACCGGGGGAAGAGTGCCTGAGGGCCGGAGAGTCCCTCCATCCCCTCTCCTAGGCTAGGCCTGGGTGAGTAGTCCCGGGAGAATTAGGGCTCCTCTCCGCCAAAGGAGGGGGAACGGGAAATCCAAGTGGGGAAGGTTTATTAGGTACAGAGAAGACGTATCCAATTGTTACAGCACCTGTCCCCGTTCCTCAGTTTCTCGACTGTCCCAGTAAATCCAACCGACCCTGGTGCTTTCCAGCCTAGGGATAGACCCCCCCTTGACCCCGCCCAGCGCCCTCTCACCTGCACTATCTGCCGGGGCTGCACGCTCAGCGTGGGGAAGTTGCCGCGCCCGTGAATGGGAATCGGCTCGCTCAGGAGCGCGTCCAGCCGCTTCACCTGTGGCCAAGCCAGCCTGCTCAGGTGCCTGGGGGAGTTTGATGAGGCCTCCGGGTCGGGGCCGCCGCCTGCCGGGGTAGCCGGGGCAGCCGTGGCCACTGTCGAGGCCGCGGCCGTCCCCACCTGCGCAGCCGCCCCCTCCAGGCGCTCAGCTCTGCTCTCCGACGGCATCATTCGCCCGGCCCCGAGCCCCGACCGCAGAAACCGGGGGTGGTTAAGGGGAGGAGGGCAAGGAGAGCGCTGGGCTGGGGCCAAGGCTGGGGCGGGGATGCAGGGACGGGACGACAGCGAGGCAAACCCAGGGCACACCTCTGTCGGCGACGGCTAACCGACCCTAGAGCCTGCGGTGCCGGGCTCAGCGGACTCTTATAGGCCGCGGGCGACGTGCTCATTGGTCCGGGCATCTGTCACACAGTGGGAACGCCCCGCCTCTAGGCCTCCCTGCCATTGGTCAACAGAACTTTGCAGGTGAGTCACTATTCCTTGAGGAGATTTTGATTGGTTGGAAGGCACGCCGCTGCCCCGCCCTCCCGCTCAGGCTGAATTCCCTCCTTTGGTCCTCAAAGAACTTCGGTTAAACATGATTGGACCCCGCGGGCCTGCTTTTAAAGGGACCGTGCCCTTCGAGGGCCGAAGGCAAGGGAGTGATTACTAGTTTGTAGCAGAGTCAAGACCACTGAGGTATGTTTGTTTGTTTTTCTTCTTGCGCTGGAAGAAATTGAGGAATCGCCTGGCCTGGTCCTGCTCATCCGCTATTTTTCAGAAGCCCGAAGAAATCGTGCCGCTTGCTCAGTGTTCCTTCTACTCGCCAACTGTGTTCCAGAGGAGAAGCAAGGTAAAGCACTCTTGTGGATAACGGGTAGATGCTCCCTCTCCTGATTGGTCCTTGCAAATCACAGCATGAACAGCGTTCAAGTACCAGTTTAGGTTCGGTGAAATTGAAGTGGGAGTGGTTCCTCCAACCTCCCACAGCAAGTTGAGTGTCACCGTGGTCCACGGGTATAGAATCTGTAGAGCATTCTCTTTCCACTGCGCCTGTGCTGACCTAGGACATTTTTAGGGCTAGAGGATGGATACCATGTTTACATGTTTTCCTCTCCGCTTTATAAAGCCTAGAAGGTGAGACTTATTGTAATGGTTACTTTTGAATTAATCATTTTTCCTGATTTTAAATATATGTACTGTGGCAAAAATTCAGAAATTGAGGCCACCTGATTCATCACTACAATATTTTTTTCTTAAATATAATTGTCCTAGTAATATATCAAGTTAAATATCTTTTTCCTAACATTCTTCCATTCTCCTGTAAAGCAGGTTGTGAAAGAGTAATATGACCAATTTACAGAAGGAGAAACCAAGACCTAGAAGAGTAAACTACACCCAGAGGTTACCAGCCTGACTTGATGCACCAGGGACTAGAATTCAGGAGCCTAACTCTCAGATCAGAGCAGCCATTCTGGAGTTTAGTTCAAGCAAGATGCTACCCCTGTCTATCTTCAACTTGGAGGCCTGAGGGCATCCTGGCCCTCAGAGAGGTGACTTATAGCTTGTACCACTGTTGGCCATGTGACCTTGGGCAAGTCCAAGTCCTTGCTTGCTATTCTGTTTTACTTTCTTTTCTTTTTCTTTTTTTTATCACTGAGGAATTGAAACCAGGGGCACTCTACCACTGAGATTCATCTCCAACACACACCCCCTCCTTTTTTAAATTTTAAGACAGGTTCTCACTAAATTCCCCAGACTAGCCTCAAGTTTTTGATACTTCTGCCTCAGCTTCCCTAGTAGCTGGGTTTACATGCCACCAGGCCCAGCCTGTTTTACCTTCTGTTRAAAGATAAACAACAGATAAGAAAACACCTTAGGTTGAGTCCAGTCTCCAAACTCTAACCCTAAGCCTTCCTGAGGCTACTGATGAGAGAGCTTGAGATTCAGCCACAGCACTGGAAGGGAAAAAGGGAACCTAATATTTACTGAATAACTACTATGTCCAGATCATTTTACATAATGACTTCTAATTCTTAAAAGTATACCTCAGGATGTGGTATCATTATTCCCAATTTACAGATGAAGGAACTGAGGCTTAGAGAAATCAAGTGATAAGCCCAAGGTCAAACAATCACTGGGATGGAACCAAGAGCCTTGAACATACTAGGTAGGCAAATGTTCTGCCACTGAACTCTATCCCTAGATCCTTTCTAGAACTTTATAATGTAGAGAGACACTAGTGAAGAAAAAAAAATTAAGGCATTTCAGATAGTGATAAGAAGAAAATAAAACAGGGTCATGGGAGAGAGAATAATGCTGTATGTGAGGGAGGGACAGAAAGAACTAGGGAAATCAATGTACATTGTTAGATGCTGTGATCATGGAAGACCTCTGTAACAAGGTGGTGTTTCCATTGGGTCTGTCAGATCCACTTCTGCCCCATCCCCCTGTGCCTGTCCCTAGACAGCCAGGGCCCCAGAAAAGGCACAAGGCTTCCCATTCCTAGACTCTGGAGGCCCCAGCTGGGCGGGCCTTTCACAACAAGTTTGTTCACTCTCTTCTCAATTTCTGGATGGGGGACTGGGGTACAGAAAGCAGGAGGAATTTACTGCAGGAGGACTAGCCAGGGCTGGAAACCCTAGCTAGTGCTGGGGACAGGACCTCCTGGTGGCCAGTTAAAGCTGTGTCCACCCTATGCACTTGAATCAAGTTTTCTAAGGAAACTCTGAGGTCTCTTTTTCTCTCTCCTCCCTTCTGTCTGGGCTAGGAAGAGCAATTAGCGTGCGTGGTGAATCACCCTTCTGTTGACTTGTCCATCCCCAAAGCTGATGGTTTCCATGCTTGTCCAGTGGGGTGGAGTCACTTGGGGATGTAGAAGACTGAGAGAGAGCATGGGTGTATATCCAGTAAGATCTTCCATTTTCACCGAGACCAGCTTTTAATTGTTCCCTTGAATGGAGGGGAACATTGGCTGAGAAATATCCTCATGAATTCAATTGGCCTCCCAATGTTATAGAGGAGCCTTTCTCCCACATCCCCCCCCAAACTCCCATCTTAATTAAGACCCTAATTGATATTGAAAAGGAACTTATTTTCTGTGATAATTGATTCTTAATGATATAGGTAAGTGATTTCCCTGTCTGGACATCAGTTTCCTGTTCTGTAAAATGGGAGTGAAATGGGAATCAGGTTCTTCCATTCACTCCTTCTATGATTTGAGGTAGTGGGAAGGGAGAATGGGTCCTGGAAAGAGTCTTGGTCCCTACAATGGCTCCTCCTTGGCTTTAAGACCCCAGACACAAGAGCATTCTGGGAACTGTACTTGGAACTAAACCAGAGCTTTCCACAGTCTTATTGGATTTTCAGAACATTTGCCAGGTGGTGTGTAGCCCTTGCCTGTAATTCCAGCTACTTAGGAGGCTGAGGCAGAAGGATCACAGGTTTGAGGCCAGTCTGGGCAATTTGGTCTCAAAATAAAAAGGAAAAGGAAAAAAGGGGCTTGAGGGTAACTGGGGGTATAGCTCATTGGTATAGTACCCTGAGTTCACAAGAAAAAAATGTTTTTCAGAACAATATTCTATGACATAGAAGTAATCTCTTACTTTTCAGGAGAGGAAATTCTGAAGCTCAGAGAAACAGTAATCTGTGAAGGGCCCCATAGTGGAAAGAGACTTCAGACCAGGTTTGTCTGAATCCCAGGCCCAGGCCCTACCCAGAACCTTGCCTATGAGAATGGCGGAGTAAATGTACACACAGATGGTTCTCCCCCATGGAGATCACCTTACCTCATGTCCACATGGCCAAAGTAATGGACCTTGTCATTACTGATAATTGTACCCCACCCTGCATAATTTCAATATCAACATCACCTCCTGTCTTTTCTGCTCACTTCTTGTAACACCCAACTCCAATAACTCCTTGACCCACCAGGACCTTTAATCTACTGATYCTCCCACTTTGGTCTCTATTCCTCATCTCTCTCATGACCTGACTTTCCTCCTGAACTAACTTGGAGTCCATGGACCATTGCTATAATTACCTCCCTGCATACGCCCGGAACCCCTTGCTCCCCTCTCATTAAATTGCATCCACCTGGCAAAACCACACCCTGGTTAAGCCCACACAGCTGACGAAGCTGGAGGCCAARGCCCTCTGACTGACCTCACTTTACCATCAGGCCCACCACTCCAGGACGCTCCTGGCGCTGTCTGGAAAGCCTACCTGATGACCCAGTCTTTTCACTCTCCCACTGTCCTAGACTACAGGGTCATACCTTCTCTCTCCTCAGTCCCTGGAAGTTCTGCTTGCATCCTCCTCTCAGCTAATGACCTTGCTTCCTACTCCACTGAGAAAGCAGAAGCAACCTGAAGAGCATTTCCAGGTCTTTCCACACCGTTTTACCCATCTGCCTGGCTCCTCCATGCTTCCTGTTCAGCCTCCCTCCTCCACATGGGGTGAGCCTGCTCCCTTCTCCCTGAACCCACCGAAGGCCCCATCTTTCTCACCTGCTCAAGGGCTTCAATTCTAGCCACTTTTCCTCACTTGCTGACTGGATCATTTCAATCAGCATTGAAACAGAACTTCTGGCATCTCAAATCAAAAACCAAAACACACAAGAAGAAAGCAAAGTGTTTCTTGTCAGCCCCTCCTCCCCTCTGACAGCAACACTCCAAAAATGTCTACACACACTGCTGCTTCCGAGGTTCCCCTGTTCCCTCTTGAACACACTTCAACACTCCACCAACACTGCTTTTGCCAAGGTCACGTTGCTAAGTCGAATCATCAAATTTCTGTTGGTTACAACTTTTTTGAGCTATAATTCACATGACATATAACCCACCATATAAAGTGTATAACTCAGGGGTTTTTAGTGTACTCGCAAAGTTGTGTAGGACCAGCACCACAATCAGTTTTAGAACATTTCCATCACACCAAGAAGAAATGTTGTACCCTTTAGCAGTCACTCCCCATTTCCCCAATGTTCTCAGCTCCCAGCCCCAGGCCACTGCTAATTACCTGTGGATTTCATATACAGGACATTTCATATGGGTGGAGTCATACAATATGTAGCCTTTTATGACTAATTTCTTTTATTTGGCTTTAACGTTTTCAAGGTTCTTTTATGTTGTGGGATATGTCAGCATTTCTTTCTTTCTTTTTTCTTTTTTTTTTTTTTTAATTATCCCTGGTGGTAGGGATTGAACCCAGGGCTGAGAGCTAGACCCAAAGACCCATTTTTTTCCCTTTATTGTCAATTATATTCTATGA